ACTGCATTTGGTTTCATTTATTCTTCTTCTTAATCAGACCTGCTTCAGTTAATATAGCAGAAAAAAAGGAGAGTCATCATCCAAACCCTTTCCCTTTACCAGCTCTCACTTTTCAATGAGAGTTAAAACACTGCAAAAAATATTGCTGTGTTTTTTTCTTCTTTTAAATGCATTAAAACAAAACAAAAGACATCACAACAGGGTATCTTTGTTCCTCCCCTTTATTTAGGATTTGGTTCTTTAGTTTCCATTATAAAGGTTCATGCTGCATCTGCTTTGGGTGATTTCACCCGTAATGAAGTAGGGAACCAGTCCCTCCTAGTGGCAGCTTGAAGAAAGCCCCACCTGCTGTAACTGATACATTAGATACTGTGATGACACATGGAAGCAGCCATATTGTAATGAGGTTAAAAGCTGATGTGCTGATGTCTGTGCTAAGAAATGATGGCCTCTCATCTTTCTACATTCTCTCTGGCTCCTGTTTTCCTGCAGCTGAGGAGTGTGTGTCCTATTGCAAGCCTTCTGAGCTGAAAGTCAAGATGAACCTGGAGACGTATTGTCTCAAGGACTACGGTTGGTTTCATGTTATATCTATTTAATTTATATAAATGAATTAAAATCCTGGTTTTCCTTTTTTTCTAGTTTCACAAATCTAAGACAGGATTTGGCATAAATTATGTACCTAATTAAATTATTGGCAGTTTCAAAATTGATAAACTGCTCCTTAGTTTTGACCCAATAGCCACAAAAAAAAAAGATAAATGCTGTATATGAGGTAATACTGTTTAGTTTTTGTTTGCAGTCCCTCTCTTTGATTTTGATACAAAAGTTATGCATCTAAAGCAAGCTAAGATACACTTTGCAACCAAAAAGTTTAGGAATAAAGGGTGTAAAGTCCAGTTAAAAAGCAAAAAAAAAACAAAACAAAAAAAACAAGCTTACATGGGAAAAATAGGTCCATATAAATCAGGCCATACCTGGAAAAGGGATAATTAAAAACTTGTTGCACCGAAACACTGACATTACATTATTGGATAAGAAACATTTCTGATGATAAGGTAAATCAAATTGCAAAGAAAAAAAATATCTTGACAATACAAAATGCTTTGTTCTGGGGATGTTTTTGGGTGTTATTAGGTTGTGAAAAAAACAAAAAAACAAAACAAAAAATAGTAAAAATAAATAAATACAAGGCCCAGATAATTTCTTTTTAATCCCTTAAAAAATAAATGACAAATAATGTATTTCAATCTTAATCATTCAAGCTAAACCTAAATATCATTCCAAGGCTCAGATACATAAATCCTTTTCAGCTTAGTGCTTTTTTATAATAAAAAACCCCACAGCTGAAGCCTGGTGAAAAGTGATTTGCATCAGGAGCAAGTAATGTGTGTTTACATTCAAAAAGAACTGGAATCACATTCGAGAGCTGAAAAGAAAAAAAAAAACTTAGTGAAATAAAACTTTGTGCAATTGATTAATAATTATCATTTGAAATATATTTCTTATTGATTAGGCCATATTTAAAGCAAGAAATATTATTGGATTGGTGTATTCCCTTATGAAAGGGGAATGTTATTTTAAAGTGTTTGTTTCTTTATCAGTGCTGAAGGTGCAGGTGAGAGGGATGGAGCGCTCTGGTCCCTGGTGGCAGTTCTCCATCTCCATTCAGACCGTCTTCCGGACAGGCTCCAACTCCCGCGTCCGGAGGGGCCTACAATCCCTCTGGGTTCCCGACCGTGACCTCAGCTGCGGCTGCCCCGCCCTCCATGTGGGTCGGACATTCCTCCTCATCGGCGCAGAGGAAGGGGAGCGGAGTTGGGCTCCAGGAGAGAGTCGCCTGGTGGCGGATCGCTCCACACTGGCCCTTCAGTGGCGGGAACACTGGAGCCCCAAACTCAGGGGCTTCCGGGGGCAGGACAAGAGGGGCCGCTGCCCCCAAAAATCTCCAAACAGCCAGCACCCTCGGAGTGGGGAGCACACAAAGACACATTCTGCTTACATCCCTCCTCACCTGTTGAGCGGGACAGAGGCCAATCCTCATGGTGACAAAAAACACTCTGTGAACTGGGATGATCCTCAGACCGGCACCAACCGTGACCTTACACCCACAGAGGTAGCAGCCTCTTCCTCCACCCTCACACCAGTGTGTTCCACTCAAAGTCCTGAATAAAATAAAACTCTACAATTACAAAAAGGACTATGGTAACATTTCAGGGGGTCTTGATTCTTTGCTGAAGGTTTTAGTGGAAAACTTGGACTCTTTTGTCCATTTTGAAGAAAACCCAAAGGAAAATCTTCACACATAAAAAAAAGCAAACATCTGGTTTAGCTTTTAACAGCTGTTCTCTGAATTTACAGGAGGGATGGTCATGCTATAATCCTGCAGAAAACTACTAAAATTTATCGATGACAAAACTATTCCACCAACATGAATGATGCTTTAAAATAGTTCAATGTTTTTAACCCTTTAAAGGACACACACTGAAAGGTTAAGCTGTATATTTCCCTGCATTTTCTCTGTTTTTGATCCGAATATTGTATTTATTAGCATCATAGCGAAAATGTGGGTACAAAATAATATAGATTGGCCATTGGAGGAAAAGATTTCAAAATAAAAGCCTTCTTAAAGGTACTGTAGAAAACTACATTCAGGGTTCATTATGCTTTTTATATTGTAAAGAAATCTTGATAAAGTTTGGTTGACTGATGAAAAATAAATAAATAAAAATTGTAGATTCATCCAAAGCTTTGTTTTAAATAAGTTTGTTTCCTACTTGTCTGTAATTTGACCTAATTTAGCATTTTATAATTAGAAAAAAAGCGCTCAAACCTACTATCCAAGCAGCGACTAAGAAAAATTGATTTGAACTTTAATGTGTTTCCGTACTAAGCAGGCCACACAGCCAAGAATCTACATCCAGCTTTCTGAACGTACACTGCTGCCCCTCAAATAGCCGTTTAAGGTAGTCCAGATACAGATCTTTAAAAGCATCCGTCTGACTTGTCGTCATGACTTCTGTTCCCATTTGGCCGATATGGCGTCATGGCTCTTGGGAACTGGTGGAGGGGCTTATTGGACAGATGCAGGAGCTCCTATTTGTTGAGCTGAGGCCATGTTTTGGCAGCGGCGGTGTCAAGGATTGGCTGTGCTGCCCTGTTGATGCTTGTGATTGAAAATAAAGAGAGAAAAATAGACTTGCTGATTGAAGACCTTGCAGCAGAGCATACAGCACATCCTGACTGGGGGTTTGTGTCGCTGAGAGACTCACATTTTCTTAAACCAGCTGACAGATAGTTGTTTAATTAGATGTGTACAGTATTTTAAGTTATTGCTTCACAAAACGCTTTAGTAAAAATTGCAGTTCATTGAGTTTAGTTAGAAAGTTTTTTGCTACTCAGACAAATTATGCATTGTAAAATATTTTTTATACAAACTTTAAAGCTTTTTCAGTCACTCTTCTACTCTATCATTGAAGGAAACCAAAGCAACGGCTAAGTAACCAAGTAGTTATTTTCTAAATTTATAGAAGAAAAAAAAGTAATTATTGTTGTCACTTTCCACTTTTGGTTTATGATGTCTGAAAATACATTAATACCCAAGTTTAGAGTTACCGCTGAGGCAAACAGGACTACTGGAGGAAAGCACGACCACGCAGAAGAAATTGATGGAGGATTTAAGTTGCCACTTGTCGGCCATTTTCTAATCTGTGATTAAAAAAAAAAAAATTTAAACTACAGTACAAGGCCTGCAATAAATTAAATAAAATTATCTGCAGAATATTTGCATAATCTGCATTATCTGTAATGCAGTGATAGTCAAGGATACAGTAAGTGTGAGTACCTGCACTGCTGTTAGAGGAAACCTGAGTATGATCAGAAAGCTCCCTGAGTGACAATTATTTTATCTGATTAAAATATTTTAAAAAACTACACACACACACACACACACACACACACACACACACACACATGGATACAGTATATTACTACAGCCATCATACCTAATGGCAATATGACATGTAGGATTTTAATATATCATGATTATGAATCTGAGAAAATTCTGAATATAATTTTAATATTCAGTATAACTTTTTTTAAAAGGGTTTTTATTTTTAAAAGTACTATAGTATTTGTGTAAAACAGTGGACAATGGATAGATGTGCATAGTTTTTTTATTTTTATGGTTAGATATTTTCCATTTTTCATTATAACATAAAACTATGATTTCTAAAAAAAATTTTGCACAGGTAAAAAGTGAAACTTTCCCCCACAAAATACGATCATGCTTAATAAATTTAAATGAGAGAAAATGGATTTATCGAATTAACTCACTTAATAAGAAATAATATGAATTTAACTGGCTTTTGTTTTCATGTCTTTTATTTTGATTATGATGATTTTCTGCTTAAAAGAAATGAAAAAAAATTTCTTTGAGCGATAATTAGTTTTATATCAGAAATAAGAAAACATTTTTAGTGCAGAAATACGAGCTGCCTGAATCCTTTCCACAGCTGGGTCATATCCATCACTGCATACTAGTGTGTGTGTTTTTAGCCCTTCTATCCCTTTTAGGTGTTACTACTCTTGTTTTCTTATTTAATGTATTTATTTTCTTATTTTTAATATTATTTATCACTTTTTAGCTCACATTTTTCTTGCTTAAATATTTGCAATCATGTTTTGAGTCTACTTTGAGACTCCACTGGTCATGCTTATTGAACACCATTATAAACAAATGTTATAACTAAACCCCAAGCGCAGAGATGAATGGTCAAAACTGCAGCCGTTTGTGGTTCAAATCCTGACATTAATAACTTTGCTGCATGTTTGCTGTCTAACTGCTACCAATAAAAGCCACCGGTTAAGCAAAAGAGAGGAGACATTATTTCTTTTATGTTTTTTTGAAAATTATATAAAAAAAATATATAATCTGTTGTCTTGCTAAACTGAACTTTTAATGGTCAAATTAAATCTATAATATGTTAAACCCAGCTATAATTTGCTGCTAAAATAGTTTTGATTGATTTATTTTTTGGATCTCTTGGTTTTCTTTTTCGTAATGTTTTAGCTTTGGTTCATGTTCACTGTTTTCAGAAGAGCTTTTAACAGCAGGCAGCTGCTGAAAGTGATGCTAGACTAACCCCCAAAACAACCCGCCGACATCTGGTGACCTACAAGGCTGAACGGACTAAAACACACCCAAATGACAGGATTTTATTCTATCAGGACCGTGCAAGCTGCCGTCGGGAGATGCAGAATCTTGCTTGAAACTCATCAAATAAAAGAGGTAAGACTTTAGAGAGTGTGGTTTTATAATGAAATCAGAACTTTCTATAAAAAATAACAGTTCAAATTTTATTTTTTCTAAAAGTAACAAGAGATCTCTCAATGAAATGACACCACAGACGCACTCGAAGCAGCTTTGGAAGTTAAGTTTAGCCTGTAGTCCACAACTTCAGTGCGTGAAGGGGAAAGGAAAGTGTGTGTCTGTGTCAGTACACATAGAATCGTGTCCTGGGGGGTAAAGTATCTGCCTCTCTGTGCGTGTCTGTGTGTGTGTGAGAGAGAGAGTTTGAAACACCTGCTGCGTTACTGCAGGAAGCACCTGTCAGCGGTCGTCTCTTCAACGCCGGCTCTGTAGACATGAGGGTTTGATCCTAAAAACACTCCAAACACACACTTACACAGACACTAACAGACAACTTAAGCCGTCTGCAGGCAGCCACTTTGCTGCGGTTCTGTTCTCACTAAACCCGTAACACTTCTTCTGTTATCTGAAGCACTGTGGATGGGAGCAAGTCTCTTGTTTTTTTAATAGTCTATTAATTAAAAAGGCTATTGTAATCTGGAACCAGTGGCAAGAGGAGTGTGAGTTTAGCATTTTATGTTTACAGCCTCACCAGGGCACGTTTTTATGAGAGGTGAGTCCTGCTGCACTGAACCTGGAGCCAAAGTTCAACAAGACTTCTTACAGACCTCCACACATCCATGTTTCTCTTTATTCTACTGCCTTCTTTATTAAACCCACAGCCAGACATTGTGCGGCTGATCCGGACAGCGATTCCTCAAACGCTCCAGATTCTTATCATGTGCCCTGGAGCTGAGATGCTCAGTACGTTTCACAAGCACGGCTTCCAGAACTCACACATGTAGAGGCTTCTGTTAACCTGAGAGGCTGAGGGTCAATCCCTGTGATCTGCAGCCTGCATGCCTTCCATACACACACGCCGCCGACACGGCAACCCGACTCCCAGGCCAGATTAGGACTAATCAAGCATAGCATGGCTCTGGGCATCAACAACATGGATATTCCGCAGTACGCCATTATAAGCACACCTGCATTCTTTCAACATATTATGAAATATATAGATTCCCAATGAGTTGTAATTTTAACACTTGAAAATTACGTACTTTTCAAAGGGTGAGAATTTGGAGAGGGTTCAGTCGCAGACAGGACCTTAGGAGAAACATTATGAAGGGTAAAGAGAAACAGGCAGAAAAAGTGGGAGGTAACAGGCAAAAATATCGATGTGATAAATGATTTTGAAAGGGAAACAACAGAAGAATCCATCAGGGAACAATGAGAACAAATTAGAAAATGGCGTTAAATGGAGGTTAGTAAACTGTGACATAATGCGAGTTGGGTGGGGAAAAGGGTAGAGTGCATGAAGACTAAGGGAGGGAGAGAAATTAACCAGAATAGCGGTTAACTGGGATACACTGTTTCTAAGGAGAAATCTAATTAAAATGTAAAAGAAATAAAATCTGTTTTACCAATCACAGAAAATAAGATATCTTTTTTATGTTGTGTAGTTGGATGTGTGTATATATATATAAAACTGTAGCTGGAGCGTGTAACAAAAGTAATTTCCCTCTGGGACTATTAAAGTATTTCTGATTCTGATTCTGAAAAGGATCGGACAAGACTAATATTAATATTAGTAAAACAAAAAAAAGTTCAAGTGGAAAAAAAAAAAGAATTTGAAATTATGACTTTTACAAATGTATGTATTTTTGTATGGTTAATCTTGATCAAGTAGACTGGTAATATATCTTTAGTTTTAGCTGTAATATTTCTACTCTTATGGGGTTTTTTTTTTAATGTAAATCAGAATTTCTTCAAACTATTTTACATTTAGACTCATCAAAAATATGAAATAAAATATCCAACACTGAAAATGTTGATAACTATGGTCAGTTTTAAATTCAGGAGTTTTAAATGCCTTGGTTGATATCTAACAAAACCCAGTTTTAAGAAATAACAGCAGTTAAATCTAAAACTGATCTCAGACTCATGTCAAAAAATGATGTCAAAATTAAACAAAGTTGCCCTTTAAACTTCACTATTCATCTTTAGTTTTTTCCCACATACTAACTCCAATATGACGGCTCTTTAAATTTTATCTATCTATACCCAAGAGAAGAAAGAAATCATGAGAAGAATCAGGAAGCCTTTTGTTTGGAAATTCTGATTTTCTTTTTACATTAATCATCTAAAAAGATCCATCCATCCATCCATCCATCCATCCATCCATCCATCCATCCATCCATCCATCCATCCATCCATCCATCCATCCATCCATCCATCCATCCATCCATCCATCCATCCATCCATCCATCCATCCATCGCCAGGTTTTGCTAATGCTTAACATCTATCTGACATTTCCAGAAGGATAGAGGAGCTCTCCATGTGGCTCCTTACTGCCTCTTCTTCATTAAAAGCTTGACTGATGTCTTTTCTTTTTTGGATTTTGAATCTGAGAATGTCACCCTGAGAAATTTGTCATTGAGCTATAAAATCCCTGAGTCTCATCTGACTTCCACCAACTATTCCTATTGGTGCAGAATCCTTTTGCATTGTTTATATCTTTTAGACCTGTCAAATTTTAAAAAACAATTACCGGTATTTATATACCGTAATATATATTTTTCAGTAAAACCAATACTTTTATTCTGCACCCCTGTAGACATTCTGTGAATGTGTTATTATCATTAAAAATGCGAATGCAGCAGTAGCCTTATAGCCACATAGAGAGATTCAGCAACTATATTAATTTGTTACTAATGAGATCCCTCTTGATTCATAAATTTGACTTTCATAATTTAAAAATTTTTTCTCAAATTTACATGCTCACCGTTCAGCTGAGATCACAACTAAAGAATTGGGCCCACTTTAAAGACCTGACAGAACTGGATCCTCAACAAAGCATAAATGTCATGGTAAAAAAAAAAAAAAGAAAGAGTTTAGACAACGGTTCAATATATATATTTTTTTTTATCTAAAAAGAGAGTTAAATCATTTAACCTTGGAATGTGTAAGATCCACGTTCCAACTCTTTTCTGTTTCCTAGACTGACTTCCAGTTTAAACAATTGGCCGAAATGGATTTTATGGATATTTCTTTTAAACTGCAGCTGTAGTTCCTCTTTAGCAGAGACAACATATAACTTTAAAAGATATGCAAAATTTACGAAAACTCTGTCAACATCTGTACAAATTTTACTCTTCCTTATCTTTTTCTTTGTTCATCAATTTTTCATTATCTAAAAAAGAATTAAGTACACTTTATAACAATTTCACCATTTATGTTCTTATTTTTAGACTATTTTACATCTGTTATTTTATAGTTAAAATTAAATGCTATAAATCAATGGGATTAAATAAAAAAAATTTTTTCTCATAATTTTTGTTTTAAAAGGATAGTAATAATAATTGATATCCAAAAAATATAACTGACGTTAAATAAGGTGTAATAATAGTGAAATGCTCTAGAATTTTATACTTGATAAGAAAAAAAATCTTATTGTACAAAAACAATTGATAAATAATTTAGTGTCATTTTGGTTTTATATTCATGTTTTCTTTGTAGTATGTTTATATTTTAGTGTCTGTAACTCTGTGTTGGGTTTTACCGTCCTCTCAACATAAATGTCATAAAAAACACAAATTCTGAAATATTTTTAAATCAGTTCTTACTGCAAAAGAGGAAATTGCAACTTCTACAGAAATAAGAGACTGTAATTAAGATTTGAATCATTTATTCTCTCAAACGAGGCGAATAAAACTATCATCTATGGATTTTTATGGGGTATTTATCATTTTTATAAGAGTTAAAATCTGGTCGAGCATGACTATAACCTAGACTGTTAGATTCAAATGATTCCCACTGCTCCCAGGTGTCAAACTGTCCCACTGCCACACACCCTCCAGTCTGTTAGTGCTCTGGGAGCCTGACTCTGAGTCCAGGATTAGCCATCAAAAGGCTGATGGAAGGAGAGGTGGTGGTGGTGGTGGGGTTTGGCTAAAAGGAAACACTAACCCGGCCTTCCCAGGTGGTGCGGCTGGAAAGAAAGTCCCATCTGTGGCACGGACGGGTCAAACGCAGGCCGTTCATGTGTGTGTGCATGTGCTCCTGACTTTTATGGGGCATACACTGCATGGTGAACTCCGTCTAGTTGGATCTGAACCCCGACCGATTGGATTTCAGGCTCAGAGAAGTGATCTGTGACCTTTTTACAACATGTGCTCCCCTGATTTTTCCTCAACTGCATTTTAACCGTTAGAACATTTAGCACCAAGTTCATCCGGAAAGGTCTGGATATATAGAGTAAAAAATGCCTTTTTTCTCCCCCTACAGCTTTTAAGTTTAGATTTTTATAGATAATCTAAGCAGATCACACATTTCCTTTTAAACTGGTACAGGCATTAGATTAAAACCTTATTTATGTAAAAAAAAATGTATGTTGTAAATAGTGTTATAAATGAGCTCCTTATATTTTGATGTCCAGTTTATTATGGAGTTAAAATTCTAAAACTAACATAAAAATTTATTATTAGGCTATTATTTAAAAAAAAAAAAATAGGCGGTTAATTGCCTTAACCTAGTGGAGCTTGGAATTCTGAGGTTGTGAGTTCGAAACCTGCTCCCACAGACTGCCACTCCAGGTCTCTGAGCAAGACCCTTAACCCCACGATGGCATCCCACTGCTCCCCAAGGGGATGGGTTAAATGCAGAGGTACATTTCTCTAATGTGAGATCAGTTAAGTTAAATTATTATTGTTATTATTAAAAATACAAAGTAATAAAACTATTTCTTATAAAATATGTAATAAAACGAGTTCATATTAATATAAGTAATAATTTGATAATTTACATATTTGAGCCATGCGCAGCATGTTGGATATGGAGGTTATTAGTTTTCTTTCCATCCACGAAAGATTTTCTGCAGTGACTCAGTCCTTCCTCGCCTGCTGACCACCCAGTCTAAATTTTCCCCATTAGGTGTGAATGAATGTGTGACCTGCTGCATCAGTGTTGACCTCCCCTGTCTGTTCATCACCCTTCAGCCACCGGCATTGAAAGAGGTGAATCCCTGCAGCCGAAGGGGATTAAACATACGAAGAAAATCAATGAGTTCCGCCTGAAAACAACATTTAACCAGAGTCAGGTTTTACTTTCAGGTGTTTAAATTCACAACATCCATTCAGTGTAATGAATGTGACACACTGTGTTGCACATAAGCACTTAAAATGATAACCATGAAATTGGTCTTTGAATGTTGCAAAAAAAGGACCAAAAAAACCCAACATTCATATTTTTTTAAAACAATAAATTAAGTTTATTATTTTACATTTGCAGCTCAGATGTCTCCCCTCCTGCTATACAGGTGCTGGTCATAAAATTAGAATATCATGAAAAAGTAGATTGATTTCAGTAATTCAATTTAAAAAGTGAAACTTGTATATTATATTCATACATTACATACAAACTCATATATTTCAGATGTTTATTTTGTTTAATTTTGATGATTACAAATGACAACAAATGAAAATCTCAAATTCATCATATCAGAAAATTAGAATATTGTGAAAAGGTTCAAAATTGATGGCCCCTGGTGCCACACTCTAATCAGCTAATTAACTCAAACCACCTGCAAAAGCCTTTAAATGGTCTTTCAGTCTAGTTCTATAGGCTACACAATCATGGGGAAGACTGCTGACTTGACAGTTGTCCAAAAGACGACCATCGACACCTTGCACAAGGAGGGCAAGACACAAAAGGTCATCGCTAAAGAGGCTGGCTGTTCACAGAGCTCAGTGTCCAAGCACATTAATAGAGAGGCGAAGGGAAGGAAAAGATGTGGTCGAAAAAAGTGTACAAGCAAGAGAGATAACCGCACCCTGGAGAGGATTGTGAAACAAAACCCATTCAAAAATGTGGGGGAGATTCACAAAGAGTGGACTGCAGCTGGAGTGAGTGCTTCAAGAACCACCACACACAGACGTATGAAAGACATGGGTTTCTGCTGTCGCATTCCTTGTGTCAAGCCACTCTTGAACCACAGACAGCGTCAGAAGCGTCTTGCCTGGGCTAAAGAGAAACAGGACTGGACTGCTGGTGAGTGGTCCAAAGTCATGTTCTCTGATGAAAGTAAATTTTGCATTTCCTTTGGAAATCAAGGTCCCAGAGTCTGGAGGAAAAGAAGAGAGGCACTTCATCCACGTTGCTTGAAGTCCAGTGTAAAGTTTCCACAGTCAGTGATGGTTTGGGGTGCCATGTCATCTGCTGGTGTTGGTCCATTGTGTTTTCTGAGGTCCAGGGTCAACGCAGCCACATACCAGGAAGTTTTAGAGCACTTCATGCTTCCTGCAGCTGACCAACTTTTTGGAGATGCAGATTTCATTTTCCAACAGGACTTGGCACCTGCACACAGTGCCAAAGCTACCAGTACCTGGTTGAAGGACCATGGTATCCCTGTTCTTAATTGGCCAGCAAACTCTCCTGACCTTAACCCCATAGAAAATCTATGGGGTATTGTGAAGAAGAAGATGCAATACACCAGACCCAACAATTCAGAAGAGCTAAAAGCCACTATTAGAGCAACCTGGGCTATCATAACACCTGAGCAGTGCCACAGACTGATCGACTCCATGCCACGCCGCATTGCTGCAGTAATACAGGCCAAAGGAGGCCCAACTAAATACTGAGTGCTGTACATGCTCATACTTTTCATGTTCATACTTTTCAGTTGGCCAACATTTCTATAAATCCTTTGTTTTTATTGGTCTTCAGTAATATTCTAATTTTCTGATATGATGAATTTGAGATTTTCATTTGTTGTCATTTGTAATCATCAAAATTAAACAAAATAAACATCTGAAATATATGAGTTTGTATGTAATGTATGAATATAATATACAAGTTTCACTTTTTAACTGGAATTACTGAAATCAATCTACTTTTTCATGATATTCTAATTTTATGACCAGCACCTGTATGAACCACTTTCAGGCCACCAGATGGATGGCTGTCTCACATGTGGGTGTTCTCTTCCTCAGTATCTGAGCTGTATGGCAGAGAAGTCTGGGGTTCAGGGAGACTGTCGCTCTGCAGATAGGAGAAAACCACCTGGACCTGAATGTAAACACAGAGGAAGAATCAGTTTGAAAAAGGAAAAGAAGTTATGGAAGTCTTGGTTTCTACTGTTCTAGTCGGGAAGCTGATCTAACTTTACTTTTCTTTTTATAAGCCATGGCTCATTGGATCGTTTAATCCCTGCTCAGCCCCTGATCTGTAACGTATTATATACGCTTAGGGGGATGTGCCATCTGTAATCTTTTTATTCTCACTTACTTTTGTTCAGTTTGCATGTTCTGTCAGTAGAAAGAATACCTCCTGTCTATATTTCCTGTGTGACTATCTGCCACTTGCATGTAAATAAACATTGCTGCAAACTTGTGTTACATGTGCTATTCTTGTGCAGAAGGGTTTTTTGATATCTCAAACTGTATCCTGTCAAGGAAAAAGTGGGAAATATGTTTTTTTCCCCCCTTTCTTCCCCAATGTGGCTCCTATCTTTCCACAGAGATAAAGGCAGCGCTATAGTTAACCGCCTGGGACCTGGGGAGCCAGGTAACAGGTGGGAACCAGGCAAGCCATAAGAATGCTCCATTCTGCCAAATGGCAGCGTTCTGTGGCACGCATAGCCTCACTCAATCCGTTCCCCCCTCTCAGGACCCCCACTGGAATGTATGTGACGTATTGTGATCAACGGTTGTACTGAAACTGAAATTTCGTTTGCAATGTAAATTGTAGTTAATGATAAAGAAGTTTTGATTGATTGATAATTTAATATTACTCTTTTTTAGTCTGGACCTTTCCTAAGGTGGTAGAAGATCACCCCTTTCCTTTAAGGTTTTATGCTATAACTTTAATGTCATCAGATTTGCCTATAGAATACTAATAGCTGTCTCATACAAATAAAAAGTTAAACAATCATACATTGTGATTTATGGATTTTTATGTCTCTCGCAGCGGATATGCTTATATGGTATATAAAATGATTGGTAAAATATGCATTGTCAAACTTCATAAATGTAGTAAATGAATGAGTATGTTGCACTTTAATCAGCAGTTTATTCTGCTCTCGTACTTGGAGCAGCAGGACGCTGCCCGTCAACCTCTCCCTGTTGAGGTTTGAAACTCAGTCTATGAGGTAAACAGTGAGAAAACAGAGCCCTGATTGGATAACGTGCCAAAAAACATCCCTTCCAGTGAGGTTAAACCTCTTAGAGGGTCTATAGAGCAGGGGTGGGGTCTTAAAGCTGGTTGCTTGATGCTGATTGGCCAACATACTTAAGGATTTTTGACTGACAGTGGTCAGACAGTGAGGAGGTTTTCCTCATGAGTCCAGAGGGGAAAGTGATCATTCAGTCATCTTGAGCTGAAATCTTGCCATGGTTTTTTGGAGTTTATCATTTCATAGCGCTTCACAGCAGCTATTTCCACCTGTTGTAGTGATGTGTTATATGTATTTCAACATTTGTTAATGCAATACGGATACGCAATACGTTAATGCATTTAATTAACATCAAGGTCCCCCCCACTTTCAACAATGTTGTGCCTTAAATTAACATAAACAGCATGAAGAATTACCTTACATAATGTAACATTGATTTATACTCAATTATCTGTTGTTTTTTGTTTTCTTGTTACTAAAATGTAGGGTTTAATTTATTTTTAGCTCCACCAAGATGGTTATGTTTTCATCTTTGTTTGTCTTACTGAATCTTTCCAAAATAACTAAGAAGGTTATAGACCAATTTTGCAGAAAAATTCAGAGTATTGTGATTTGCAAAAAAAAAAAATAATAATTTTGGTGATGATCCAGAAAACCATCTGGATCCGGGTAACTTTGAAAGATTCAGTGAATACAGGTAATAACTTAAGGTGGAAGTCACAGTATGAGGGGGGAATTGTGCTCCTTGGTAGTGGTCTGAGCTTTCCAAGTGCTTTTCCAGTTCATACCTGTATCACCACCTCCTGAGAGATGTCCACTGTGACGCCATTGTGCTCCAATCCTGCCACCGGGGGGCGCAAGAGGCTGGGACCAAAAACTGTTGCCAAGTTTAGCAGAGTCATCTTGTTAATATGTTTTCTCTCTGCAACTCTGGAAAAAAAAAAAAACATTGACTAAAAAAAATGAAACAATTCAGAGGTTTTATCTACAGTTTATTATTTAAAGGTTATCTTGATTTTGAAAATCATTTGTAAATTCTGACTGGTTCTGGAAATAGCATGCAGTGAGTGCAGTTAATAAGTCAAACTGTAACTTTATGTTTTCAGAATAACCAACTTTGAGATAAACACCTTCGGAGATGATGCAGCAGGTAGAGGAAAGTGTTACGGTTGACATCAGGAGTGGACTGCAGCAGGGACAGCATGGAGACGAGGCGTGAGTCCATGTCCTGTATTTCTGGAGGGAGAGTCAGATGATGATTAGAGTAAATGCTCAGGACTCATGAAGGTAAATAATATTCATATGCATTAAACTATTCATTCTATTTGAAATTACTGGGTTTCTCACATAAAGATCACAAATTAAAGTCAAATAAAATCCAACTAAAAGTATAGCTGATTATATTTTTTTGTGGGTGGATCATCAAAATAAGTGGTGCTCCTAATTGTCAATCATTCTGTTGATATGTTTATGTAAGGCCGTCCTACGTGCTTGTCTCCATTTTCACTTACCGTTGTTGAGTCTGACATAGTGAGAAAAATAGCAAATCTTCTTTTGGAAAGGAATCTTATATGAATGATGCAAACTTTTAAACAGAGCGTGCATGAGGAGAAATGGGCTCATGCACGCTCTCCACGCGTTTAATAGTCGTTCCCTCTCAGGAGTGAGTACAAGTAGAGAGGGCAGGTCTTTTCAAAAATGCATGAAAATCCTCCCCTATACCTTTTAGTAGCCTTTGTTTCTTTAGGTGTTATTCCTTTATTTTATTTTTTTTCTTAGCCTCTCTTAAAATTGTGAAGGACAAGCAAATATGTAATTTCAATAGAGCAGGATAGTAAAAAATAACGTCTAATCTTACTTTAGTCATTTTTTTAATTTGAAAAATGGCTGAAAGGTGTTAAACAACTGGAACAAACAAGCCTGGAGGAGGATAGATGTTATCACAGCAACCTGCAGCACTCTGCCAGCTGCAGCAAAGAGTGGCATCTTGTGGTCATCAAACCACAATAAAAGCCTTTTTTATAGCTTCTAACCAGGGGGTTGCATGAATATTATTGCACATCTAGAGAAGCGTTGGGAATGTTGAGGTCTTACCCAGTGTGTTTGCCAGACTGTGAAACAGCTCAGAGGGGATGAGAGGCTCCGGCAGCTCTCTGAAGTAGAGTTTTAGGACACCAGAGACGGTGTTCACCTCGGAGCTTCTCATTCTTGTGACTGCTTCCCTCAGATCTGAGCAGACAGACACAGATGATTGTGGTTATTAGCGTCAGTATTACCTCTGTAGTTTTTGGCTGCACGCTTCCTTTCACTGACTTTCTCATAGTGGTGGTCTTTTAAAGACAAACAGCTAGAAGTCATGCTGTGGCTCATTTTTTTTTTTTTTTTGACTGAGGTGTTTTTGTTGTTTTTCTTACTGCTGTTGAACGCAGCTTTAAGTGAGATGATGTCTGTGGCGGTGCCTGATATCCTGTAGATTCCCACCTCGTCCATGCCTCTCCTCTCCACCTCCTCCACGCAGCATCTCACCACATGAGGAACAAACACTCCTTCCTGTCTGAGGATGGGAACGAAAATAGTTGTTGGTGGTTGGGGCGACAGCATTAGTCAAGCTGACATGGGGAGGGCTTTCATTTCTCTGCTCATCGGCCCCTGCTTCACACCACACTTCTGCTTCGCCCACCTTACCGCACAAAACAACCGCTTCTGTTTTAAAAGAACTGGTCATGCAAAACTGCACTGAAAGGAAGTAAAACTTCTGCCTGGCTGTGTGTTTCCTGGACGGGGCCGCCTTTTACAGCTGCTTTTTGTATCTCTGCTTCTGTCTCCTTGAACCCCAGTCGGCCTCAGCAGATGGCCGCTCACACTGAGCCTGGTTCTGCTGGAGGGTTCTTCCTGTTAAAAGGGAGTTTTTCCTCTCCACTGTCGCTACAAGCATGCTTAGTGTGAGTGATTGTATTTGAGTCAATGAGTCAATGCAATCAACTGGTTTTCCTTAGATAGAAAACTTTGTATCAATTTGATTGTATGATCTGGTTGAACTGTAAAGTGCCTTGAGATGACATGTGTTGTGAATTTGGCGCTATATAAATAAACTGAATGGAACTGAAATTGAAAACTTCTGATCGGCCAAACAGACACTTACTGAGCCACCGTCTGGATGGGGACACAGAAGATGGGTGGTTGTTGAATGGGAGAGCCTGGTGGTTCCAGCTGGTGTGGACAGTACTTCAGGGAGAGGGTCACCTCCAACTGACCCAGCTGCACGGTCTGCCTCCTCCAACGACTACTCAGGCTTTTAGACTCCAACTTAACAAAAAGAGATTAAAAAAAATCAAAGATTTTTAAACAAGAAGAGCTTAAAACTTGCTTGCATGTTATTCATTCATCCTCATTTAAGAATTAAGGGGATCATGGTGAATATTTACACCCATCAAGATGATATTTCCTAATGTGTCTCCTGAATATCTCTCTCTTCATGAAACATTAGAACAAAAACTGCTTTTTTCACATAGAAATACATTTTTTTAAACTGCAGCAGCTGAGCAGCATCATCTCACAAAGAAAAACATTTTTTAGTTTGATCTCATTTATGTGATGAGATAAACAGAACCTCAGCTGCTAACGCTGCTTTGTTTTTTTCCCCTTTCTTCTTTCACGCTGCGTGGTCCCTCTAAGTCTGTAATGTTAAACATGTCCTGTTTGTTACATATAAAATCTTCTCGATGTTTTTAAAAGAACAGGATTTTTGGAGTCAGGTTTATTTGATATATTGGATTACAGAGCACAACAAACAGCTTGCAATAGAGAATAAAAGCGAGTCTCCTAAATATATCTCTCTCTTTATAGAACATTGTAACAAAAACTGCATTTTTCACATAGAAATCTTTTTTTTTAACTGCAGCAGCTGAGTAGCATCATCTCACAAAGAAAAGGCATATTAGTTTGATCTCATTTATTGATTAGATAAATAGACCCCATGTCAATAAATAAGTCATTGCTGCCACACTGGTTCCTGAGAAATAGAGCTGAAATATTCCTCTGTTTTCAATTTTTTAAGGGTTGACAGTCTGTCTAGAGCAGGGGTCTGCAAGTGCATCTATGGACCCTCTACAATGGGTCTAAACATGATAAATAACCAAGCATTGGTTTTAAGTACAGTAAAATAACAAATGCACGTTTTAGAAGCTTTGCATTTTTTTATGTATCACAGAATTGATTTCCATAACAGAAGCATATTAAAAAGGACCAATAAAAAGTTTCAATTTTTTTCCATCCTTAGTTTAAAAGCATTGTGTTTGGTTTTTACATCATTTTCCACAGACAAACATCCAGAAAATTTGTGTTTCTTCTTGATACCAAATTTATTCTAAAACCTAGAATAAAGTTTTAGATCTTTCCAGTTCTATGAACTAGAAACACATGTCATACAGCAGAGAAAAAATAGATATCTTTTAATTTAAAATGTTGTCTGACATGCAGATATGTGATTTATAGATCTTATCAACTTTTTTTTTTTTTTTTTTTTTTGCATCTATGGCAAACTGGCTCTTTAATTTTGAAGGTTGCAGACCCCTGCTCTAGTATCTTATAATTAGTGCTCAATTACTTCCTCATGAGGTTAAAAATACCTGCTGCTTTCTATGCATATATTATAGATTAATATATTTAGAATAGTATGTATAACTAAACTGTTTGCATGACAGCAAAAGAAAAGAGAAACAGCTTCACTATCACCCTTAGTGCTTTGCACTTTCTAACACCCGCCCTGCTATAAGTCACAGCTTGTAAACACGTCTCAGCTGCTAACACTGCTTCGGGTTTTTTTTTTTTTTTGGGAGCTTTCTTTTTTCACGCTGCATGAGCCTTTTAACTCTGTAATGTTAAACACGCCTTGTTTGTTACTAGTAAAACGCTAAATGCTTTTGAAAGAACATGACTTTTAGAGTCCGGTTAATTTGATATATTGGATTACCAAGCAAAACAGACAGCTTATAATAGAGAATAATCTTTAATCATCCAGTTTTAAAACAAATATATTTTGGTTTAAGTATTTCTAACTGTTTAGATTACGTTTTAATAGAAAACACTATAGTTTAGGGTCCAGTTTTTCAGTTGAAACTGTTAGAAGCACAAATTAAAAAAAAGTTAGATATAAATTTGTAGCTTAACATGAGCCATTAGGAAAATTACAGAGCCTTGCAAAACTATCCAAACCGTTTAATCTTGCCTCACGTCTTCATGTTGAAACCACATTCTGTCACATCTCCTATACAGCTATTTTATAGTGATGGGTCAACATAATGTAGTCTATTAACTATTTTTCTTAGAAATAAAAATATGTGGCTTGTATTGTTTCTTTTATAGCTAGCCCTAGACCGTATTATTGTTCTCCCATGAAGGTGGTATATTCTAGGTGAAAAGCCCCAGAACGTTTAGTATGTATTCTTTTTACCATATTTCCGTCTTTCAGCATGTTTACTATGCCCTCTGAATTAATCTCTGAGTATGACTTTTTAAACTCTGATCCGTTTTTTTTTTCCCTTTTCACACTGAAAGCATATAGAGAGGCTCCGATTATGCAGGGTGAGCAGTTCTGTGCAGATAGTTTTAACTGCTGTCTTTGAGCCAAAAAAAAGAACAATTTCCCACATTTTACTTGGACAGATTATGAAAAGTTCTTAAAATAAATAAGTATTTAAAAAAAAAAAACAGCGCAGCTATAACACAAAGCCCCTTGATGAGTCTGTGCAGCATATCTAGTGCATGAATTCACATCTAGATAGAGGATTTTTATTGGCCGATATTGAAACATAATGGAAACTACATCTAAGGGAAAGTTAAACACAGCAATAAAGGCAGTGAGGCAGTTTATATGCTGACTGAGGCAGTGAAGTGATTCTCAGAGAGAGATCTGTGAAGTTTGTAAAAGTTGTTTTTTTTTCTTTTTCTTTTTTTTTTAATAAGGTCAGAGAGATACGCCGCCCTTACCTGCTTTGTCTGTCCCTCCTTACTTTGTTTTTTGTGAGGCTCAAAGAGGATCTCTATTTTACTATATCCGTTTTCTGTCCTCCTGAACTCCTATCGTTAGTAAAGTATTATCTTTTATTGTTTCATTGATTGTTTTTGCACGAGTCTATCCTGCTTGCTATATATGTGAAGTGCGACTCCAAAACTGATGTTTTCCTGCCATTGATAGATTTTATTTTGTATATTTTCCCCAAAGCGGATGGCTTTTGCTATGTAACCGCCTCTCTCTTCCTGTCAGACCCATGAAATTAAAGCTGAATAGCTGCATAGTCCGACTGAAATAGACCTGGGCTCTATCTCAGTCAGAGCTATGCAAGCCCCCTGATCACACCATGTCTGGTGTGATCATCCCAATTGATTTCGATCAGCGCTAATCGACCTCATCCGACACGATTTTCTGTTGAATTGGATGCAAAATTGGATTTGGTGTGTTCACACTTTTAATAGACCCAAACCGTTTTTGGCTGTTCCCCCAATTCCTCCATATCTGGCTCAAATCATTCCATTACCCTATGAAGCCTTTAGGATCTGCAGAAACCTGTTCATAGTTATTGTATTTCCATTAGATGTTCTGAAAAGAGATTATTCCACCTGAGCATCCATAGGATCGATAGAGCTCCTCCAGAGGCTGCATCTCTAATTCATTAACTCCATACACTGTACGTAGGTGGATGGTTCAATGACCAGATGTTGGATTGAACAGAGCTTCAGGGGGTGTGCAAAGCTCATTGGTAAACTAACACCGCTTCTCGATTCTCAGCTGTGTTCCTTAGTTTGTGTGAAAATGTTTATTGGTTCTCTAATTTGAATTTGACCTGCTTTGTTTTGGTCTGTCACATAAAAGCATGCTGAAACTTCTAGTTGAGATTTTAAAATTGCAGGGGGTGTGAATACTTTTTACAAAGCACCAGAACTGTCCTCGGCTGGGACAGCTTGGGTGTGTGCGATTTTCTTGTTGTACCTTTAGAGTAGATTTCCCCAAGACTGTGCCATCCTGTCCATTAGACTGACTCACACAGAGCACCATCATCTTCTGTGCACCATCCACCTGGAAGGACAGCTCCTGTTTGAAATTAAAAAGAAAGCCCACAGTTTTAGGCTCCAAAGTCATGACTATCTGCTGGATTTCTATCTGCTGATGTCCACTGAGTCTGTAGAAAGAGGAGAGGAACCCTCGGTCTGAGCCATTTTACTCTATGACTGTATATGTTTCGGGTTTAGGCGTGACCTGTACACATACCTGGTCCCAGTGTGGGTTGAGGCTGCAGACAGAGGAATGTGTCTGGGCTTGTTGATCATAAAACTCGTTACCATCGACCTCAACGCACACATAAACACCTGGAGGAGAAAACAGTCTTAACCAACCTTTCCTTTATCTGTTATACAAGTTTGTCACACTTTCTTCTTTAATAATCTCTAATATGATATAATATTTAATAGGATAATTGTTTAATCATCTCTTTATGATACACAGTTTTTACATAAATATACTATCGACATGAATGTTGTTTAAATTTAGGGTTTAGATTTATTCAAATGAGCCATTCTCAACTAATGTTATAAATTACAGTGAGAAAAAAATGGTTGCACAAATTTAATAATTAAATGATTACTTTAATCCACATGGGATCAAAATGCATTCATAACAACCTAAAAAAACAAACGAGGGGGGCAAAAATCATGCAAATACGTACATGAATTCACAACAAATACCAAAACGTCCCGCAAACACAAAAACAGGACTAACACATAAACTCATAAAACGCCTATAAAAAAAAGGATGCTGCAAAGGATTAATGCTTCAATCACAGGAAATAGAGAGCAAAACACAAAACCTGTTACAAAAATGTAAATGATGCAAAACAGAATAAAATGCAAAGGACAAATGCTGCAAGTTGACAAAAGCTGCAGACTATGTTCACACAACAGAAGAGCTCCAGGTCATGAGGAGAAGATGATTATCAACTCATACGGGAACGGACCCTGAGTAAAAGCATAAATTAAGAAATATTTCTTCTCTCTTCCCTTCAAGTCTTCTCTGAACCTGTACCCCATTTAGGTTTTTAAAACAAATTCAGTCCTTAGACATTAATGCCTAGTAATTTGTCTGGTATTATATGTGTGGATGATCCTCTCCTTCCAGCGGTCTGATGCACTTCAGTTATGCAGAGCTGTAAGTTGTTCTTAGCTTGTAGAATGCTTGCAGCTTTTTTCTTTTGCTTTTTTTTCAGGTCTTTGCATCGTTCATGTATTTTTTGTGTTTGCAGGGCATTTCCATTTTGTTGCTCTTTTTTTGTAACTGCAGCTTTTTAGCTTTGCAGCATTTTTCCTTCGCATTTGTTTTTTCTGTGCTAGTCTCTTTTAGTGTTTGCAAGAATTGGCTGTGAGTTCGTTTGCATGCCGTTTGTATTTCTTGGCCATCGTACAAGCTAAACCTCTCTGAATAAAGGTTATTGTAGTCAATAGACATAAAAAAGATTGAACCATTTGGTTCAAATCTAATACTGTAACTCTGTAATCACTGCCAAAAATGGCAATGGCAGCATATTGCTGTGGGGCTGCTTTACTGTCTGCTAGATATGAGCCAGATGGGGGAACTTGAACCTCCAACATGGCCATGTTTTCAAACATACATCATTGCTGGACCTATTCCAAACACAAAACCCATCCAAATATTTGGTGCTGTGCTGAAAAACAGGATTCAGTCCCATGAAAATTAAGAATTAATTAATTCAAGGACTTACAGCAAGTCTATGGATGAGAAAAAAATGCCCGGATGTCATTAATGTCTACCAAAAGTATGTAATCCCTCTACAAGGGAAAGTTTATTTATTGATTTAAAAGTTATATTTTTGTGTCATAATATATGATTTTCTGGTAAGAAAATTCCCAATCAAATGAGATTTGAGCAGCCAATTACTGTTTCAGCTATTTCACAGAAGGACAGAAAGCAAATAACATGAAATAAATCCCTAAAATACAGAAATTAATTTATTCAAAGCCATGATAAATGAGTGTAAAGCTGCGTATTTGTATTCTTTCTGTAGACATTTGAAAGCATTTTTTATAAAGATACATACAAGCCGGTTCCTGCAGACCGGAAGCAGAATGGATCGCCACACTAACTGTCCCACATAACGAATTTTCATCTTCTGCTGGTGAGTGTCAGAGAAGAAAAAGAGCATGAAATGTTTTTGGGTTGCATGAAAAGATAAAAGCTATGACAATATTTTAATTATGTTTCAGGAAATGTTTCTTTGATAGAAGGAAGAAAAAGGCTTATGGTGGGAGGAGGTGAGTGTACCTGCAATAGAGCTGTGAAGATGGGGCTGCTGGGTCATTCTCAGTTTCACACACGCACTGGTGAGAGTAAGTAAGTCTGGAGGGACGGTTTCAATGTCTAAACAAACAAAAACAGGAGAGAAGAGGGATACACTTATGATTCATCAACTCTGTGGTTCCCCTTCTGCTGATTTTAAGTCCTTCCTCCTTGTTTTGTATAGCTTTTTAAAATCTTTATTACTAATGCAAGAAGTCTTTACTTAAATTTAGCATTTGCATGAGGTAAAGACAATTTAAAGACATCATATTAGACAGGCTTCTGTTAAAACAATATAATATAGAGTCTCAGTGACTGATATTTAAAGTGACTGAAACCCTCATTAACCTCATTAAGAACGTTATATTTTCTGTGTAAATTCTCAGCCATGTGGGTCATGGCAACCGCAAAACAAGTTAGAATTAGAGGGGAAAAAAAACATGCTATGATGTAAACAATTCATATATCTCACTATCTTTACCCTGCAGGGTCACCACTCCAACCTGCAACCCTGAATGACTCCATTCTGACCCTAGGTGGATGTTTTCTGAAGGAATCTAAGGTTGCACCACAGGGTTTTATCGCACAGGTTTTTATCGGGTTTATGTTAAGATCCATCAATCTTATCATCCTATTAAATATGATGCACTGTTTTCTCCTTTCACAGGAAATGTTTCCCCAAAGCATGATGCTGCCATCCCCATGTTTCATCGTGGGGAGCAGTGTGTTTGCAGTGAATTGCAGCCAAAGTTGAAATGCATACATAGACTTTTGCACATGAAAAAATTTGAGGAATTGGTTTTAACAAGACCAGATCACCTTTTCATAATAAAAATGTTGTGTAAACTGTAAACACGAATTCATGTGAACACAGTCGCAGTTACTACAGTGTCCCATTAATTATTTCTTTGATAACTGATTACAGTGGAGTTCTCTTATCAGATTAAGAGACATCAAAATGTGCTCTTTTCAGATTCATATTTATATGATGTCTTGCATAACTTTCCTTCCACATCACACTACTTTGTTGTGGCTTATTACTTCATTCATTCAAATAACTTTGAAGTTTGTGGTTGTACAATGAAACGAAATGCAAGGTGTTCCAAGGGTTATAAATACTATTATGGTAAATTTATTAGATAAAGATTTATTCTTTAACATTTTTCTGATCTAGTTGATCAGAAACTTTAATGTCAGAGTGATTGTTGTAGGGACTGGTGTGACATCATGCATACATGGAGAAGCAGCATTTAGATCCTATGCTCCACTTATCTGGAACAAACTTCCAGAAAACTGTAAAAGTGCGGAAAGCCTGAGTTCCTTTAAATCAAGACTCGGCTATTCTAGTTAAACAGTTCAACTGAACAATTGCTAGTTCTACTCTTTTATTTTCTTTAGTCCAACTATTTTTAATGTTCTTTTTTGTTTCTGCATTTTTTATTTTATTTTATTTTTCCTACTTGCTTTGATTCTGTTTTATTTTTCTATATTTTAATCATGCAAAGCACTTTGCATTGTCTTTGTACTGAATTGTGCTATACAAATAAATTTGCCTTGCCTTGCCTTGATTACAATATGACCATGCTTTGTCCTCTATAGCGTAACACAGCTGTGAACTCACTTTCTGTGGTGAGTTTGTGGATGTTTTCTCTCCATTCTTCAAGTTCATACAGAGAGGAGAAGAATAAAGTGTGACTCTGTGGTGACAGACAAAGTGGATTTTATAAATTAGTTTTTTCATGAATTAAGGACAGCAAATGTGCTGAAAAAGTTAAAAAATTTGTTTTCTTGTTTATACTTTTCCACTGGGGCTATGCAGGTCCAGTCTGTAAACTGGGGAGTGTGTGAGAAGTAGCAGCTCCATCTGTTCCAGTTTCTTCCTGCTGGGAGCCGTCCAAGTCAGGCCCCTGCTCCCTTTCTATACAAGGAAAGATGTGGATGTTTAATCATTTGTTCTATTTAAAAAAAATAATAAACAACTTATTCTATCAGTTTTTAAAACACGGACCACGTTTTGCTGTAGCTGCTGCCGTAAGAGGAACATCTTGGTTCTTAAACTATGCAGACGAACCGTCGTATCAGAAGGTCTTTCATGATCTGTGACCCAACGGAGTTTGAGTCCAGCCAGAGGCAGATACCAGCTGAACCGGTACTGGTCCTGCTTCCTGGAACACAAATGTTTCTACAGTCGAATCTAAGGTTTTAATATTCATCACTTTCCTGTGGCTCTTACAGCGGCTTGATAACCACATGCTCACCCTCTGGCTGCATGTTTGAATCTGGTGCACAGTAGGAGGTCGGTGTAGAGGAAGAGGTGGCGAAGGCTGCGGACACCTTCACTCACATCCACCACAAAGCCGTCACGCATCAACTGTCTTCTCTGGTGGAACAGACAGAGACACATTGAAATCTGATGAGCTTTTTCTTTCTTACAGCCGGCCTGCTTTCAAATCTACCGCCTGTTCATCTGAGCACAACCTATGAAAGTGAGGACTCACCATGCCATGGGTGAGCGTGACCTCACGTTTACTCTGTGAACTCTCATTGACACCAGACAGGAAGCTTTGGGACAGTCTGAGAGCTTCCTGTAAAGCTGCAAAATCTTTGTGCTCGACCGGTGTCGTCTTCAGGAGATCCTGTAAGACCGCAGAGATGTTTCTCAAGTCAAAAACATAGAAGATGACAACAGTCATTTCAGTTCACTAAGTGAAAATGTTCCAAAACAGTCTGGGATCGACACCAAGACTGTATTTTCTTTGAAAAAAGTGTGTCCCAATATGTGTACACAGAATCAAGAGGCTGTAGTTTACATTACAGGCCCATTGATGCCGCTGTTACAATGCTAGAAAAATACACAAAACAAAAAACCCTGGGCTTGGCCAGACAGCTTCTGGAAGGTAAACATAATATAGTGGGGAAGAGGCACATGCAAGTTAAAGAGGTAGATTGAGCTAAGTTGTCATTGTAAAAAAAAAAAAAAAACAATTGCGAAAGATGCATGAAAACCACATTCTCTAATTTTTCCACTCCAGCACCTGGATTAAAAAAATTGTAATTTTTGCTCTTCCCAAAACGTCCTTACTTTGTCAGTTTAGTCCTACTTTTGTCTGTGCTCCTCCTCCTTTGCTACTTTTTGAAACTTCTTTCTTGAGCCTATCTCCCTTGCTTTTACTTTTCTACTTTTTTCCCCTAGTTCCTTCTCTCCTTACTGTTGTTCTCCTACACTTCTTCCCCTCTCCTTTTTCTTCTATCCTTTCCTCCAAATTCTGTCCTTAAATTTAATTTCTCCATTCCTTCCTTCATGTTCCAGTTTCTTCTTTTTCACATTCTCTAAACTTAATTCTTCCCACTATAGAGATATCTAACATTATTTCAAATTTCAAAAAGAACAAAGCTCTAGAAAGTTAGGTTCAAGAAAGTAGTTTACATAAAACATGTATGAAAGAAGGAGTGCAGTTTTCTCACACGCAGCACTAGTGTGGTTTTGGTTACTCTATCCAAAGGCTTATAGAGCAGAGCTGCAATCAGAAAAAAAAAAACATATATTAGACACTTCCAAGCTTGCATCAATAGAAAATAGAAATGTGTTCTTCATACCTTCTAAAGTGTATGTTGTTCGAGCTTTGTCAGCACCGTTAATGTACATACTCTAGGAAAAAACCAACATGTAAAGTGACACAACAAGAATTTACATAAATATTGATCGCTGGAGTTACAGGACTTGTAGGACCTCTGCAAGAGTGCGGAAGCGAGGATCTGAGGTTGTGCACTTCCTAACTACTTCAACGGCTTTCTCATAGTTTTCAATGAACCCTCCGTACAGCCCAAGATGGTTTACCTGGGAACGACATCAGGTAGTTAGAACCTTGACATGTCACCCAAAAGTAATACAGCATGTCATTCATAGTAGAAATTTGATAAGTTTATTATGATCTATTATCATATATTATTATATATCACAGATATTTTCATACAGGAGAAAAACACACAAAATCGTAGTTCACCAAAAACCCTCAATGGGCTCAAAAAGTGGTCTTTAACCCTTAATCAAAACACATATATCCTATGTAGATACATAGTTACCGTATACAACAGCTTTCTAAAGAGATGCCACATGGTAAAAAGCAGTCATTCATAAGGAGACGTTTTGGTGAAGCAACTGCATCCAAGCCTTACATCACAGAATGCAATGCACAGCATTGGAAGCGATAGTGTAAAGCAGTTCACAACTGGACTCCAGAGCAGTGGAGACACGTTCTCTGAAGTGACAAAATAACCTTTCACCAGCAGGAAATCGGATGGACAAATCTGGGTTAAGAGGTTGCCAGTTATGTATTTGTTTTTCAGGAGCTTGCTTTTGCCCCACCACTCCTAATGCTTCAGTATATCAAGAAAGATTGGACAATCCCAGGCTCACAACTTTGTTGGAACAGTTTGGAGCCGCCTTCCCTTCCTCTTCCAACATGACTGTCCACCAGTGCACAAAGCAAGGCCCATAAAACCATGAATGGCAGAGTGTGGTGTGGATGAACCTGACTGACCTGTACAGTGTCCTGACCTCAGCCAGATAGAACACCTCTGGGATGAATTAGAACTGAGACTAAGAGCCAGGCCTTTACATCCAGCATCAGTTTGTGACCTCACAATTCACTTTTGGAAGAATGGTCAAAAAATCCCATAAACAAACTCCCAAACCTTGTAGCCATCCAGAGTAGCTGAAGCTGTTTTAGCTGCAAATGGTGAACCAATGTCATATTGAAGCTATTTTGACCAGAAATCGGATGTCACTTAAGTTCTTATGACATGCTTGTTGCCTCAGGAGTCCCACAAGCCAGCTAGGCTCAACAGGACTCCTTCAGTTTGACGGTACGCCTTACTGTAGGTGGCACAGCAGACCTTACGGCCACAGCTACAGGCAACCGCATCAGCAATGGAGGCAGAGAACATGGTACACTCAAACTTCATGTCACCAGCCTTAAATAAAGAAAATTATGTGTGGGCTGCTCAGTGGTGCAGTGGGTAGCACTGCTACCTTGCAGCAAGAAGGTTGCTGAATCAATTCCCAGCCTGGGGTCTTTCTACATGGAGTTTGTATGTTCTCCCTGTGCATGCGTGGGTTCTCTCCGGGTACTCTGGCTTCCTCCCACAGTTCAAGAAAACATGACTGTTAGGTTGATAGGCTTCTCTAAATTCTCCTTAGGTGTGCTTAAATGGTTGTTCGCCATGTTTGTCTCTGTGTTGTCCTGAAATAGCCTGGCGACCCATCCATGGTGTACCCCGCCTCTCGCCCATTGACAGCTGGAGATAGGCACCAGCATCCCTCGTGACCCCAGCAGGAATAAAGCTTGATGGGAAAAAAAAAATGGAATGTTTAAGCACCTGCCAGGAAGCTGTTTTTCCAGCTTTTGGCAGAAGATTTTCTTAGCTGAACTAACCTTCCCAGTTAATTTTGTTTATGGTCTGTATATATTGCGAAGGGGCCCCACTTTGGTTCTACTCAGCTTCAGATGCAAAAGGAATCATGGTTTATTGTTGTAGAACGTGTTATGGATCCAAAATTGATAGAGCCCATAGTTCCTTGCAAGCTTTCCAGTCAATATACATTTTTCCCCATAAAAAAAACAAAACATCAACTGATTGGAGAGATGAAACACGGCGGCAGCATCACACTGTGGGAATGATTCTCTTGATACATTTGGAGTGAAGGTGGGAGGAGCTAAATAGATGAGCTTGTAAAAAATTTACCTAAATTTAAAGCCAGAGCTACAATTAAAAAAAGAAATTAGATGAAAGGAGAGTTAAGGATTGATATGTCTGACCATAAAAACTAGGAATCTGTGGCAAGAATAAGAAAATAAAATATATGTAAAATGTTTCTATTTAAAAAAAAAATCTGAGTTCTTTAAGAATTTGGATAATCTCAGTCTTCCTGTGCGCCTAACCCACCTCCTATCCACATCAAGGACACCACAAAACACAAGTATGTTACGTATTCATGCATTTCTTTGAATGGAAACACACAAGGGTTGTGTTCAAAAACAAATGACCCAATGATGAGCTGCAGGCACAGACCGATATCTGTATTACATCAGAAGAAAACTTACCATTTTCAGAAACAGGTCGCCCACCTCCAGCTCAGGGTTTCTGCACATCACCGTTTCCTCCGATGAGCTTATCTCCGCGTGGCTGTAAGCGCTTAGACGGGCCTTCAGGCCTGAGTAAAAGGTGTGGTGAGCATCTCTCAGCTCTGGCACCTGGTAGAAAACAGTCTGCACTTGCTGACCAGACAGCACTGGCTGAGATGTCCCTGCTGAGGCCCGCAGAGCCTTCATGGGCTGCAGAGAGAGGTAATGCAAAAAGAGCCAGAACACCTGAGTAAATTCAAATGGTAGTGTCATAAAGGGTTAACTGCTGGTGAAAATAGCATGCTGGTGTAAAAGTGATAAAAAAAAAAATAGGTATGGTGGATCATCAGCGGCTAAACGTGTGAACAGTTGTTTAAAGATCACATACATCTGCACAGCTCACTTCTTTGCCAAAGCGGTAAACTGCATTTGTGAGAGTTTGAATAATGTTGCATGTTTACAATGATAAAAGCTAAGCCTAATGCCTTATGCATGCAAACTACTGAGCAAGATACAAAACTTTAAAATACCATTAGCGCATTTATTTTCCCTTCACTACACGTACAATAGATGCTTTATTTGTATTCAGCGGTTAACTCATAATAAATTTAATAAAAAACAAATAAAAACGAGAAAACTGTAGCTGTTTCTGCAAATAGAAGGAAAAAAGGAAAGCAGATTTTGACCATAAATGCTGCATGTGCGGGGTATTGCGCCACCATTTCCTGTCTAAAAGAGGAAATGTTGCCAGTGACCAGCTCTTTATTCAGAGTTTCCTATTAGAACCGTGCATGAGTCACAGCAGAAAATTATCTTAGACCAAAAAGCATTTGAGCTCGTTGTTAGTCACACACACTTTTTTGGGAGTAAATATTAACACTGCACATCACTCTGGACACACTATCTCCACAGTTGCATGTGTTGCTGGCAGCATAATGAGGAGGGCCTGCTTTCTTTAACCATATAGAAAGTGGACTCAACTGTTCCGCTGAATCAAAAAGCCAAGCGAGGAGCTTTTGCAAAGCGCATAAAAAAAACAATGTTGGTAAAGTCTGTGGTACAGGGGAAGTTTTGTTTATCTCGACTATATAACTTTATATTTACCACTTCCTACACTCACCTCTGGGCATGAAATTTGCATGGGCAGAAACATATCAAAACCCCACAGTGTTTAAACTTATGCTTTGAATCATCTCAGAAAATTTCCACCATTTAAGATCATTTTCTATGTCTACTTCCCACAGGTTACTCATTATCCAGAATGGTATTTAAGCCTGACAGCCCCTCGCTAAAGTTATAGTGCCTTGCAAAGCATTTCTAATGGTAAATCCTGATAAAGACAAACATAAAATGTTTTGCATAAATATTAAAATTTAAGGAAAGTGATACTATTGGTTAACTGAGTAATTTTAGCTATTAGAATCTAAATAGCAATGTGGCATGCAACTGCTTTGTAGCATCCCAGATTACATACTTTGCTGGAAGTCTCTACCTCTGATATCTTAAGATTGAAATTTGTACCTATTTTTCATTGTAAAGTAACTTAAACTTGGTCTAATGCCTGGGCCTCTTATTTTATCATACTGTTATATCGGTGTTGTGAAAGGCTGCTCCCTACAGGAAGGGGTTAAATGCAGAAGAGATTGTTGGAATGTACAATTGCAATGAAGAAATTAAGATGTTAACCAAGCTTAAATTTTAAAATATCTTGACCAAAACCATCATAATATTGGACCTGCATGTTAGGAATACTAATTATGTGAATTAGCAATTAGCTGCAATGGGTTTTAAAGTAAAAGGAAAGCAAACAAAGGCTTTTGTTTGGATAACCTCCATCTTATGCGACTGAATGCAATTTTTTGGCATGTAGTCGGTTAAAAAGTCTCTAATAAACTGATAAAAAAAAAAAAATCATTGAATAACATTAAATAACATGGATAAATTAATCACATAAGGACTCCCCATGCAAAAATGAAACTACGTATACAGCGTTGGAGTTAATCTAAGACGTTAATAGGAGCACAAAAGTATTTGGTTTTGAAAACGAGTTGAGTGTTCTCAAGCTGCCTTTGTTTTATTTTTAGCTGGTGTAAAGTCACATTAGCTCAAAACGTCTTCCGTTTTTTTAAGAAAAAGAGGAACCTTATATACAATACTTTAACAATTCACAAAGAGGGAACCAGTTCCATCTAATACGTGTGGTCTGGTTATTGTTGCATATTAATAACGGGTAATTGCATTACCATTACATTACAAAATAAAATATTATTTTAGGCAGCGCAAATGCATGAACCGTGAATTGCAAATAACTGCAACTGAAAGGGTAACAATAGCTTAAAAACGTACTTTTTATTAGAATGGGTGTAGCCAAACAACAAAAGGGAAGTTTAGCAGCAACGAACAAGTCTGGGGGTGTTTAAAATTGTGCACAACAAGCCTGCATGTAACAAACTTTAGTATGCATGAGTCAATTTTGACACTGAGTAAGAATAGATATGGCCAGCTGGTAGAAAACAGGATGCATTTTAAAATAAAAGAATAAGAATGAATTTTTTTGCTTGTTTCAGCATATGTTAAGGTTACCGTTAGTAGGGCGTCCAGCTCCCTTAGATACACCTCCTCACTCTCAAGGATTCCCCTCAGGACTGTCAATTTCTTCTCAAGCATTTCTTCATGGCTGCATGATATCTGGAAATGATACATGACATCAGTCAGTAAGATGTCCAAGTGAGCTGCATAGTTCGTGTTGCTGTTAGAAAAACATTGCTTTAGACCACTCTGGTGAATCATCCCACTACAAACCAATTTGAATAACCAAATCCATCATCTGGTTAAAAGTTTGCATACACAGACCAGAGTTATGGAAGTCAAATTCATGTGGGACTCAATGATCTGTTTGAGGCTTTTTCCCACAGTGAAATTCCTTTATAAAACATTCAATTGAATTATATATAAAATCAGAACTGGCTACAAAGACTGGAACTTTGCAAGATGCTGAAATAAATGTTGTCTTTTTTTCTAGCTACCTTCTTGCTTCTGGCAAAATTTTAAATCCACACCATTCCAATTTAGAAAAGGTAGAGCTCATTTAAAGGCAATTGGTTTTCAGCTATAGTCCTTTCTTTTTTATTAAACCTATTATGATCTCTTTGGGATACATCCTTCCATGTCCAACTTTCAGCTGTTTGACCCAAGTTGCCACTTCCAGGGAAAAGGCAGCTGGTTTGGATGTCCAACATCACACCTTAAAGGCTCAAGCCTGTTATAAACTGAAAGATGCAAGAATCAAAATGTCACTGAAAATCTCTGGCTCTAAAATCAACACTTCCAAGCACAACTGAAACTTTCCATCTACTCAAGAATAGAAACAAAATGTTTCTCATGAAAAGCTGTGTGGTCAGATGAAACCAAGATTAGCATTGTTTAAAGTCCCCACACTAGCTGGGGAGCAAGGTGGTAGCATTATTCTGAAAGGTCTGTTTAGGTTTTACTGATACTGCTGCATTCCAGAAAATGAGCTAGAAATTTTATTTTCTAAATTGTTCTACTACACTGTAAAGCAACAGCAAGATGGATGGTTGAAATGTATACTGTAGGTGCAATGATCAAATATTGTAGTTGTTGGGTGGAATAGACAGGTTAGCAGCTGCATGACAAGTGGGCCATTAAAAAACAAAACAAAAAAAACATGCCTATTCTGAGAAGAAAAGAGCTGAAAATTATTCAACCTGAACAATACTACAGTAGTTGTACCCTGAACAATATGATCAAATACTATTGGTGGTGTATGTATTTATATTGAGCCCTTTTGGACTCCGTCCTAACTAAAAAAAACCCAACTAGCTCACCCAATCTCTGTCTGTTTTAAAATCTTTAGAAATTTTGTAATATTGTTCCTCCTCAACCCTGAACGAATCCAGCCCCAAGCACCCCGTCTCTTCTTCCCCCACGGAAGGCGTGTCCGTTGGGTTGAGGAGATCCTCAAAGTATTCCTTCCACCGCCCGACAATATCCTCCTTCAAGGTCAGCAGCTCCCACTGAAAACAGTGTTAGCGAAGCACTGCTTTCCCCTCCGGAGGCGCCGGACGGTTTGCCAGAATCGCTTTGAGGCCAACCGATAGTCTTTTTCCATGGCCTCTCCGAACTTCTCCCAGGCCCGAGATTTTGCCTCTGCAACCGCCCGGGCCGCGACACGCTTGGCCTCATGGTACCTGCTTGCTGCTTCAGGAGTCCCACAAGCCAACCAAGCTCGATAGGACTCCTTCTTCAGCTTGACAGCATCCCTTAGCAAAAAGTGATGATAATCTGTCCGGACATTCAGTTAACGGAGTTCACAATAAAGTCCACTATATAGTCCCCACTCTATAAAGCAGGGGTCACCAACATGGTGCCCGCGGGCACCAAGGGGCCCTCAAAGACCACAAAGGGTGCCCTTAGAGTCTTCTGAAAACGACATTTCATCATTTAATCATATATGGCATTTAAGCATTTATAGAGATTTCAAAATGAAAATGTCTAAAAGAAAATTTGAAATTTAAAGAAACAATAAAGATATGTTTATAATGTATGAAGTTCAGGTGAACGTTGACCCTTGCCATTCATAGGTCAGTATTGGTAGCCCTTCCTGTGACTCAGTGCCCCTGAATTAGCCCTCAACTGTAAAAAGTGATTGAGGCATTTAGGGGTTAGGGCGGACGTTTGGACTCAGCCAATGTATTCCGTTTAAGCAGTAGTTTTCAGACCAGTTCCTCAGGATCCTGCATGTTTAAGGTATTTCCCTAACTCTGGACACCTGGCTAAAATAAATGGCTGATTGGCAGGCTCCTGCAGCACGTTCTGGCTGCTGAGGAGGAAGTGCAATAATTTGGGGTGGGTATGCAGGAGCAGAGACCCATCTATCCTACATGTATGCTATAAATTTATTGCTTCTACTATTTAAATGAATAAGAGAAGAGAAAGTTATTTAAAACAAACACTAATCGACACCTTCCCGAAATCTAAAAATTATATGAGATCAGTTTATTTTAGCCACTCTTCAACATAGACAAGATGAGAGAACATTCCATTTAAGCAGGATAATAGTGAAGAAAACTGTTACATCTTCAATATGGATGCCAAAGGTTTATTTGCAATGTTATGGTCAACCCTGGTTCTTCTTACTTAAAATAAAGAGAAGAACTGCAGTCTCCAAAACAGCACAGAACATGGAAGGAACAAAGAGGAAGTAGTAATCCAAAGTGAATGTGCAATCACTGCAATGAGGTTTTATATTTAAGTATACTTAAGGTTTTATACTCCATAGTACAATTTATGCAAACATTTGGTTTCAACCTAAAGCTTCATAGGCATGTAACAAAAAAATTAGTGAGGGGGTGTGTCGGAAAAATATTTCCCTAAAAAGCACAGTGTCTATTTAGCCATGTATCCTTCCTTATATTCCTGCTGGCATTATGGAAATTAAATCACTGAAAGACTAACTGCCCACTAGAGAAAACAAGAAACCTAAGAACATGCAGTGAATGACATGACACATTTGTGATGCAGTGTAACTCACCAGGCTGTCGGGGAAATCTATGCTCTCAGAGTTGAGGGGGGAGAGAAAACAGGACACCGCCTCCTCATGGAAGACATCCTCCAGGACATCTTCACCTGCTTTCATATGAGGATTAGTGCAAACATAGCAATAAGGAAGGAGCAACTCCAAAAATGCTCTGCATTAATTCATATTAACATTTTTGTACTGTTCTCACAGTGCAGTCATTTGATATTTAAGCATGAACTGGTACATCACCTGAATCCTTCCTCCTCACCTGCTATATGGTGTGACTCGAGATAGCTCAGTGCTTCTTCGTAGACGTCCATAGCAGTGAAGAACCCTCTGCTTGCAGCTCAAGCAGGAGACTGGAGATGAAGTACTCAGATGACGAGAGAAAAGCTTCCTCTTTCAGTTTAGGATGAAAATACAGTAAGAGAAAAACACAGTAGCTTCCTGTCTGTGTGGAAAGTCGGTAAAAGTTGATGAGGAGGGACACCTGTAGATTGATCCATTCCTCACTGCTGCTCTGCACTTCCTGTAAATGACTTCTCTTCAGGCCCCCTGGCCGCAGAAAGGCTGCTGCTCAAATTATCTCTACATTGGTTAAACAATCAGGTGGCTGTTGCTTTTCAGGTCTCAATCAAGCAATGGTTCAGTCCGCAATATGTGATCATAGCTCTGTGTGTGAAAGGAAAAACTTTAATAAATTGCAGGGAGACACTTGTTTACAGCGTGCAAGAAAGTGGAGAATGAATTCTACGTGATAAATTGAGTTTAGTTTGTCATAATGCTTGTTTTAGTGATGTAAAGGCAGCAGGGCTTAGAGTTTCCTTCTGCATCAGTGTTTGCATGTCTGAGTTCCTTTTTCTAGATCAGCAATGCCCTCTACAGTAACAGAGCTGAACTTACAACGGAAGATCTACATTTCAGTGCAGCTGCACTTCCTTTTAAAGGAAAATAAGCAATGAAGGGCAAATGTGGGACCAAGTCCTAATTTTCTAGGTGACGAGATAGTCTCAAGAAGAAATAGGGTTTATTTAGGTAAAAAAGAAGAACGTTCAAAAATGAGCACAAAGCTCCAGTAAATACATCTAGATCTAATACATCTAAAAATCTAGGCTTGAAATCTTTTTAGGCAGAGTATGTGAGAGATTGATTCAGACATGTCTGCATAAAAGCTGATCAGACAGCTGCAGCTGATCCAGTATGCTGCTACCTGCGTCCTCACAAAACTAAGCATATAAGTCTTTATCCATTTTCTTTTGCACAGAAAGTAAATGCCCATTGGCTTTGGATTGTCTGCTTGTTTACCTGTCTATTTTCAAAGTAAATGAAAACCTTTTTTTTTACCAAAGGTGTGCCTTGTGCCAAGGAACAGTTTCTTTGGTAATGATCCAGATCCTGTGTGAGTTGTAGCTACAGGTTTTAGTCACAATATGGGGCAAAATGTTCTCCTTGGCGTAAGTCTGCACTCTCTGAGGGCTTTTTGTAGTCTTAAGGAATATAATGATTTCATACTCCAGCCACATATGGGGTGACTTACCTGCAAACTATGAGCCTAAAGAGGGATTGTTAAAATATAATGTAATACACACAAAAAGCTAAGATAAAGTTTATAGCCATGGAGTTACAGCTAGAAATATCAGTTACTGTGATTAATGAATAGTGATGAAAAATAATATCGATAATGATAATGTAAATTTCTCAGTATGTATTTCAAAATGTTACAGACAAAATAAATAAAATAAAATAAAATAAAAATAGTTGAAGTGTCATGATTCTGGCAAAGTAGATCGTTTAGTTTCAGCTGTTATCCTGGCTTCATCGTCACTCCCACCTGTGCATCTACGCCCCTTTTCATCAGTGCTCATGCTTACCACCTGCTCCCCTGCCTATTTAAACAGACATCAAACAGTGCTGTTTCCAGATCAATTTGAAAGCTTTGAGTGAAAGCTAGCAGTCCTTCCATGCTGGATTCTGACCTTGCTCTTGAGTCAGATTTCAAGCCTTAGACGTGCCCTCGCCAGACTCCTCTGAGCTTTTGGATTTCTGGACATCAACCTGGTTTTTGCCCTCTATTAATTATTGTCCCTTCCAATCAATACCTCGTCTTGCTTCAATTCCCTCAGCTCTGATTCTGTTTCTTACTAGTGACCAAGGAGTTCTGTTTTTACCCTTGTACTCCAAGGTGGAGGCCTAATCCCAAACCGCCCCAAAGCACTACCCCTTAGCTGTCCACTGTGACTCCCAATTAAGTCACAATAGGAGCTGTGGAAGGCGCCTTGATTGAAGTTAGGTGGGGGTGTAAATAAGAAAGTTATAGCCTCTTTCATCTGATGGAAATTTTTGAATTGAAAAAGCTTCCTGGATGGGAAGCGAAACGTCTTTGGAATGAATATGTCAAGCAAGACTGAGAATCTTCACCAGCATCTGATGGCAAGGGAAAGTATTCATTGCTATGGCAACACAGTGACGGCCCCATGTGCATTGCCGTAAATAAGTGGTGCAGGTTGATGACATGAAATCAAATTTGCCCCTTTCTGAAAACAAATGTCAAAACTATTTCAAAGAGGACGTTCCCTTATGAAATTAATTACATATGTTGTCTTATACCTAATTTATGATTTTCTGTCAGTGTGACAAAGATGCAGCAAACCAGCAGAACTTACTTTAGGTCACTGTTATACCCACTGCTAAATTACAGCGAGCCTGCACTGAGGCAGATTCGCTATTTAAGAGCTGAATGGTCCACTTGCCCTACCCACTTATTTGGGATGGGCCTTAATCAGGGGAACGCTCTGTGGGAATGTGCAAACAGAGCATACGTGTTTAGGGGCCGGTTAGGGATTGATCTGGGGTCTATGTGTTTCTACTAAGGGATGTCCTTGTTTTCCTGCTGGCTTTTTTTGTACTTGTACTATCAGAATGCTCTCCATCAAAGTGGCACAAGCCAGCAGTAACATCAAGTACTGTTTTGGAAGCAAAGTTTAGTCTCCTCTTTCTCACATGAATTCTGAGAAGAGTTTCCTGCTTGCTTTGTTGATTTTTATCAATTTGTTGCACGTTATTTATGTCTGGTTGACTACTGCATTTTCAGTCTGGTATTAGAATTCTTCTTAGAGAAATCATCTCCAGAGGTTCCAGAGGAGGTCCTAGAACAGAAACAGTTCTTTATCTGCTTGTTGAGCTTTTTTAAGTAATTTGCTTTGTTGCTGTTAAGCTAGCAGATGATGGAGGAACAGATCATACTCTCCACAACAGACTTATAGAAGATATGTAGCATTTGGCTCACATGTTTTAATCAGATTAATAGCATGATAGTTGTTTGTTTTTCACATCAAGTCAAAGGCTGTGGCAAGAAATAGGAGACAGGTCTATACAAAAACAGTTCCTTGCAGAAAACCATCAGAGTCAAATACAGCCAATCCAAGGAATGACTGCAAAAGCCTGGCTACCCGCTCCAAACAGATTCAATCTGGAGGCCAAACCAAGCAGACCGTAGCTGGAAGCCAGTCTTTTAACTGCAGCCCGGCGTATTCAATCAGGAAGCCCTGCCCTCCAATTGCTCCCTGAGAGAAAATGACAGAGACACCTAGTGGACCATCACACTTCACTTCCACATCATTCGTCAAAGCAAGGAATCAAAAAAATCCAGACTTGAAGTGGCCCCTACTTCAAGTATATTTAACTTTATTAGAATGAAAGCAACTAACAGAACCTTCCAATGTTCAATTAACAGTTATTAATTGTAGGTCAAAATTTGGGTGTTTTTATGCTAAGGTATTCACACACAAGGTTTTGGTAAATTTTAGCCAAACCAAACGATATCTGTCTGATAAATTTACTTTGCAGTAAAGACAAACAGAGAATATAGGAATAATATAGGATAATCTAAGAAAATTATAATGTCATGAAGATGGTTTTATTAGTGTGGTTGAATCACTCAGCTGAATCCTCTAGAGTCTCTACACTGCAAAAAATAGAAATCTCAATAATTTATTTTTTCTTAAAATAAGTTTGCCAATGGAACAAGACAATTTCCTTTTAAAATAAGAAAAAACTATTTTATCGTCTTATTTCAAGTAAATATTATCTAACTATCTTATTTTATGAGTAAAAATACTCATTCCATTGGCAGATCGTCTTATTTACCTGCTCAAATTAAGGGTAAATATACTTAATTTAAGAATTTTTTTACTTATTTCTGGATTGTCTTTGCAGTGTAATAAGTTAAGATGAGAGTAATGCATAGAAATGGAAGCCAACCAAGTACCGAGTAGAATAGAAAAAAAATTCAGAAGCCTGAGATTTCAATTTTTAAATATCCCTAATCACTGATCAGATATCATTGATCTTATGTAATATTAAAATTTGGGTTTTATTTATCTGCAAACTATAACCATCAAAAAGCCATTCTTTATTTAGTATTTATGACTTTCAATTGTGTGTCACAATAATAAGTTTTTTAGATTAGCATGGTGCAACCCAACTAGTACTCACCAGGAATTATTCACCTTCTTCTGTGGTTTCCTTTAGCTCTTTGCTCCTCTTTTCCTAGTTTCAGTTATGTTTTATCCATTTTTTTAGATATGTTTCAGTAATATTGTTTTATATAATCATTGGTCACTGTATTTGCATTGCTTTGGTGAATATTATCAGAAAAATGCTGTGAATTATAAACCTTCTCCCATCTAATTCTTATTGATTTTAGATCATTTTGATACTTTGCAAATATCAATAAAATCCAGAGGATGTGAGCTTGCTTTCAAGATAATCAAAGGCTTTTTAACTAACGACAAGTTCCAAAAAGATTAAAAAGAATTTTTTAAAAGTGCTTCAATAGAGTATTAGTTTTTACCATTTTGATTTATTTCATATTTTATCATGATTTATTTAAGGTTGAAACATTTTTCGGGTAATTTTTTAATTGTGTTTAGTTGGCAAGTCAGGTTTTGAAAGGCCATGTAACAATCACAGCTTATATTCTAGATGAGTTATTGTTTAATGACTGAAAAGACAAAACTGGTTCCATCTAATGGGAAAAAAGGGATGACAGAGGAGGGAAGCTGTAATCTGCAGGACTTGGTTCATCGAGGAACACAATCAGAAAGATAGCCTCATGAGACCATCCTGATCTCGCGAGCTTTCAAGATTTCACTCGCAAATCAGTCTGGAGACTCTCCGTTAAAGAAAATTTGGAGCCGTTCACCAAACGAACGCCCAATCAGCGTTGGCTTTGAGGCGGGTTGAGGTGTGACGTAACGAGAAGCGCGACAGTTCAGTCTAAAGAACATGGCGGCTTCAGCCGATGAAACTAGCGTTACCGGGGCTATAGAGCAAGTTTTATCGGAATTACAGAGTATTTCTTCACTGAAAGAAGAGCAAAACACTGCTCTGGAGGCTTTTCTCAAAGAAAAAGATGTTTTTGCTCTTCTCCCAACTGGTTTCGGCAAGAGTAGCCTGGCTTGTGGTTGTGTTTTTATCGTCGCTCTGTTACTACGTCATATGTTTCGTTGATCTGATTGGTTTATTTGGCCCGTC